TTAACCATGACCAACAAGAAAACATGGCTTTCACCGGAGATGGGGCTGAATCTGAAACTGGAGATCATGGGATGCCGAAAAAGGGATGGGGCTCAAAACACCAGAAACAATGGAAACAAGGTTGAAAAAAACAGATACATCTATATACAATATGTATATATATAATATGCATATATTGTGTAATTATATATATGCATATATATATATTATGTATATATATATTATGTATATACTTAGATAATGTTAGATAGATCTATAAACATTGTAAACCTTAACAGTTCCGTGCCACTCCGCCGCAGCACCGCTGCCTTTTTTCGGCCACTTAGCCCACGCTGGAACTGGACGTGGCGCTCTCCAGGTCCGAGGCTTCCGAGGAGCTCTCCTGGCAAGGCGCAAGGGGTGCATAGTATGTATATATATAGTTGAATAATGATAATAAATATATGTATATATACACAACTATATGTATAATTACATATGTATGTATATATGTATGTATGTATGCATGGATGTATGTATGTACCCTCTGGTAAACTAACGTAACTATGGAAAGATCCACCATTTTCGATGGGGAAACTCACTATTTTTATGGCAATTTTCAATAGCTATGTTAGTTGACCAGAGGGTATGTGTATGTGTATTGTGTGTCAATCAACCATCGCTATTTATAACCACTTTTTTTGGCCATATCATATCTACTACTAGGAGGACGTCGTATCTTTCATGGATCAAACAATGATGTTTTTGAATGATTTGATGATTTTTTGCTGTATATGTATGCAGAAAAAGATATATATATATACATATCGAAGATGATGGCATAAATACATCTAAATACGGGATAATCCTGGATCATATGAGTTTTTCAATCACCAACAATTCTCGGCAATCATATGGGGTCAAACAACCAAGATGGAGGTTAAAAAGCCACCACTGTTGGATGAAATACGCACCAATATCAACCGTGATTTATTGATCGCTTGGGAGTTTGTGGGAAACCCCTTGGTTTGAGTTAAGAATCAACAACATTTCTGGATGTATGATGCTTCCCCATCTTTTGCAATGATGCTACAAATCTAAGTGAAGGCTACAATCCATCCAGAAGCACAACTTTGGATACCGGCAACATTCACATGGTCAAAGTATAATCCGATTACGGGTGTGTAAAAAAATCTTTCCGGTACTACAGAGGCTGCCAGGTGCATGTGGATGATTTTCGTAGAATTATTTGGATGTTTCGACATTGCCCAAACTACTGGTTTGGCGCCTATTGATCGAACTACAGAGCCTAATCTCAAAAACCAACACTGATTGGCGGTTTCGAGCCCTGGAATTGAGCTCCTTTGGCTCCTCTGGCAACCTGCCCAGGTTGAAATGACATGGAAATAGTGGAGTGCCACAAGGATCTTGTCAAGAAGCACATGGGTTTTCCCATCAATATCAGCCAATATCAGGGTTTCCTGAATTTTTTTTGGCTTCAACCAATTCGGGAACTTCATTTCTAAAAGACGGGAGTAGCGAAACTCCGTGGAGCCATGGCAATAAATCCTGATGCTAGATCTCAGCCAAATTCTTGGATGGTAGGGAAGGAATTGTCAGCTACCACCATCAATCCTTACCATAGTAATAATAATAATAATAATATAATAATAATAGTAGATAACAATTAAGTAATAACAACAATAGTAGATAATATCCCATATCTTTAGGGTAACAATTACTATAATAATAGTAGATAATCATTATTATCACTATTGTAGGGCCAATATCCACATCATTGGGCTTTAGTAAACCCCTGGGCTCGTGGGCATGGCCGAAACGCGCAACGTCAGCTACAAAAATGTCTGGCTTGGCAAGTATGAAATCGTATTATGCTGTGATTAAATCATCATTGTTAGTATCATGGTCATCAACATTATCACGATCATCATCATCATCATCATCATCATCATCAGTACTGCTATTAATTATCTACTATATTATTATTATTATCATGTACTCCTAATTTGGGGGTTGCTGAAAATGGGGGATCGCAAAAGCCACTGGTTTTCAATACTAATTGCTCTAATTTTGGATGATTTCGGGGTTCCCCCATTTTAGGAAACCTCCACATATACTACTAATGACAACAGTAATAATCATCATTCTAGTATAATCATCAACTATAATAATTGCTATCATGATAATTCATTCCCTTTTATAATCCCTATTTATAACTACTATTCCCGGGGAGGAGCAATTGGTTTTTTGTCAAAACGTCCAAGGAACCCATGCAACGCCGAGATGGAGGAGAAGCAACTGGCCTCCGAACTTTTCCAACGAGACGAGCTCCCCGTTTTTTACCACTTAGAAATGGGGAAATGACCAAGCAAAGTAGTGATGTTGATCCAGGAAAATGTACATTGCACCACCGAAAAGCATGCGTTTAACCAACAAAAAAATGATGTGTATCCAACACAAACAGTAAAATAACATAAAATAACCATTTTTGGCAACAATGATGTTGATTTGACCAACAAGACTGTTGATTTAGGTGGTAATTTAAACCAGAAACGTTTGGCTTAACCGTCAAAATGTGGATGATAAGCAACAAACATGATGGTCGAATCTGTTCAATATAACCAGCAGAATTCGGATGGTTCAAGGATTGCGTGGATTTCGCATGGGAAAACACGCATTCAGGCAATTGTCTAAAGAAGTGCTTGGTAAACTAGCATTCCAATTAAGCAACTAGAAGCCATCGTCGCTCATCCCATGATAAGGATTGTTGAATATGTTTTCTGGCAATGAATTAGATGACGTTCCTTTTCACCAGGTAGTGTTTTTCACCCTACACAACATAAACCACCAACCATCTTCTGGTTTATAATCCTATTTTTTTGCAGGTTCAACCCCTATGTTTGTTGGTGGCTGCTTTTATGAGGTTTTGGTCACCGATTCTGACCATGTAAAACCGCGATGCCACGATTTTCACTACGTATTTTGTTCATCGTTTTTCTTAAAAACACACATTTTGGGGAAAAAAAAAACCATCCCCCCCCAGTTTTGTGGGTGAAATCCCTGTGAGAAAAAAAATCCCTCAGATTCCGCTCTGGCAGCGTCGTTTTCTCCATCTGCTGTGTGGCGTTCTTCACCAGTTCCAGCAAAGGGGCCAAGGTAGGACAACGCTCCTGCGCTCTGGCACCTGGGGAAGCACCTGGTCCCTCAGAATGCACCTGGTTGTTTCCCATTTTTCTAGGGATGAAACTGTTAGAAGTTTCATGTTCCAGGACAAATATCACGAACCAGGAGGCATACAAGCTAGGAAAAATACGTATATTTAATAATTTAATATATTTTAATATTGCCTTTAGTTGAACAGAACCTGATACATATTGGACACAAATAGTTGCTTCAACTGGAGTATCAATGGTGTTCATATATGTTCAAGCTCCATATTTCATTCACTAGTCGACAAGAGGTTGTTTCCCCTCTGGTCAACCCCAATACCCCATTGGGGAAAGTCATCTGCGCCAATTTCCAAAGGTCGTCCAAGTGTAAGTGATACCTACTTGGATTTACGACCCAGGAACCCAAAAAAGGAAGAAAAAAAATAGCCCGGTGGTATCCCCAACAGCCGCAACGTTATATTTTGACAAATCTTTCTGAAGCGTGCTGCGAAGCCACGCGCTGGAAACACCTCAGCTGGGCTTCCGTGAAATAAATGGCCGCAGATCCTGTTGAACCTGACCTGCCTCTGCACCAAACCCTCCCAGACCTTCTCCGGAACCTTCTCCGGAACCTTGTTGAACCTGACCTGGCTCTGCACCAAAGCCCCTGGGAACCTTCTCCGGAACCTTCTCCGAAACGCTGTTGAACCTGGCTCTGCACCGAAGCCTCCCAGACCTTCTCCGGAACCTTCGGAGCCTTCTCCGGAAGCTTGCTGAACCTGACCCGGCGCCTGCACCAGTGCACACTGAAGACCCCATTAGCGCTGCCGCTGTTGGGGAAAAATCATCAACTCAGAAAATCCAGGCCTTTATTGGTCACACCAATTTACCACTGACATCGTACAATGGTCCCACTATCTCCCACCAAGATCTCATTTGTGATCCTTTTGAGCGCTCATCTACCACCAACTTACCCTACCTCCAAGAAAAAGAAGAAAGAAAAACACCACCTTCATCAAATTACCCGCAAAAGTGATCCAATAAAAATATTGCCATCCCAAAAAGATCCAATGCCATGTTTAGGTCCTTGACGTCTTCCGCCATGCCCCACGCACAGCACGCAGCCAAGGGGTCCAGCGCTGGAACGGCCTCGCAGGTCAAGCAGTCATCGCAGGGTGGGTGCCAGCATCGAAACCCTAAGAATATGCAGAAAAGACGAATTTCATTGGAATGTCATCATTATTTTTGAATTGGATGAATCAAAATCTTCGGCATCTTTTTGAGAGGTTTTCGAAATATACTATGCCTCGGGAATGCGGTTTCTCTGCATTGGTAAAGATGAGGGTTCGTCTCAAAATGGGAGATTTACTGCCCAGTTTCTTGCGAGTTTAATGGGGAAAATGACGATAATCGACGATAAAACGATTGTGATTTTAGGGTACCCAATTTTTTGACATACACATGGCCACATGAGACTGGGAGTACGTAGGCAATTGGAAACCTTTGTCATGGCTTAAGTCACCAAAAGATATATATATATATATACAGTATATATACATAAAAATATACATATATATATATATAGGTCACCCAAAAAAAAGATCTTTTCCGCATGCCAAGAAATGGACATGATGACATGTCCAGAATCGGCATATCCAGCTGCCGTCCCGAAATGTCTGCCTTTGGCAGAAATGGAGCTGGCAAGCAGGTATCCAAAGATATATCCTGCTTCATAAAATGGAGCTGGCAAGCACGTGTTCATAGACTTTATGGGTTTGCCCAGAAAGATCTACTTAGGAGTTGTTTTTGTTGGGGACAATATTGACTGATTGGATACTGAGGTACTCAATTCTTGGACAAGCCCACATATGGTAAACCCAACAATAAAACATACCCGATTTACATCTTTTTCTAGAACCAGGTATTAAAACCCATAAACATACCAAAACGCGGCTAGTTATTGTCAGGTTTACCTCACATTCTGGGTTCAAAGGTTCAAAGCCAGAAAGATTCACTCCCAGAAGGGCTGAATGCTTCGTTTCCACCCAAGCCTGGGCTCCGGGAGACTGGCGACACACTCCAGGCCATCTCTCTCTGCACCTCGTTCAACGAGGGGCCATAGGATTGGAGAGCCAACTGCATCTGCTGAAGTTCGTGCATCTTCAGCAACTCCATCATCTGTGAGTCTTCGGCTGGTTTTTTTTGGCGCCCAGTGATACCCAAAGAACCCATCTTGGGGTCCCCCGAGCGCTGGACTTCCACACTTGACGGACGTAGCTCCTCTTGGCCGTGGGCGAAGGTACAAGCTGCACCCCTGCTGCACTGACCCTTGCGGAACTGGTAGCACAGCTGCGTGCGAACCAAGCTGGGGGCGCCCCGTAGTTCTGCCGACGTATGTGCAAAAGTGCACTGGTTGCCATCGTAGCATCGCCTGGCATCCCAGTATTTGCACATTCTGGTAAACTTCAAAGCATTCCGGGTCTCTGGTGTGGACATGGCGGCTCCGAATCACAAGTTCCGCGATGTTCCGCGTTCTTTGCGTTTCAGAATGTTATATACACAAAAATGCCTTGAGCAAGCTGCGGGGAAATGCCAATGACAGTGGATGCACGTGAAAGTTTACACCCCATAAACTTAACACAGGAACCCAACAGGTCCATATTCATTTGTGAATTCTTTCATCTTTGGCACATCTGGCTTTTCAGGTTCATAAAGACAGACGGGGTGTACAACCGGGCAATTGTTCACCAAAAAGTTCATTGGTAATATTTAGAAATCCCTGACTTGGGTGTGTTTCAAAATGTCGTTTTATGAAGCTAATTCAGGACCATTGGGGAAATGATGATAACATGATGATAACCCATTCGAAACTTAAAACTTAGCAACCCCCCAAAAGAATCCAACAGATAGAATCAGATACAACAAAGATGAACAAAGGTAAAATATGGTAAAATCCCACTGCTATGAGTTGCTACATCTCCACTGTGCCTCTGCTCCAGTTTCTTGGAAATGCTCCAGCAATCGCTCACGGCTGCGCTCGTGCTCAACCAGGCCTTTCCTTCGGATGTTCAACTGGATAACTATGGCAACTATGGCCTAGGCATGGAAAATTCTTGGGAAATCAGTGAAACCATCGGATTCTGGGAAAATCATGGAACACATCTCGAATTTTTCAAGCAGTCTTTGTCTGGGATGATGGCTGTCTGTTGGAGAAGGTAGATCCAACGGAGAAATCCGGTTCCAAATGACCATCCGAATCATGGTGAAGCAGCAAATTCTGAAGCTTGAACTGGAAAAAAACCAGCAGCTTTCACCAACAAAATAACAGTTAAACATAGCATGGCACAGAGTGGAGGATGCTACCAGATCTGGGCCCAATCATGGTCAACTCGAATCTAGTCGGTCTTTGTGAGTCCCCGCTGATTAAAAAGTCCGCCACTCCGTCATTTTGTGAAAAGTTTCATCCCAATTTAAAGCCATATCCCAATTTCATCCCAATTTTCATGGGTGAAATCCCAATTTTATCCCAATTTTATCCAATTTTCATGGGTTAAATCAGTTAAATCCCAATTTTTGGTGGTGAAGTTCCCATGATCATTGAATCATTGAGGGTTGAATCGATGAATCGACCGCCAAAACCGGTGCTCCTGGTGCGTTTCAGCAGCAACCACAGCAGAGTGGAGCTGCAGCCTGCGCCAAGCAGAAATGGAACGCGAACGCGAAGCCATCGTTTAGCATGTCAAATTAGCTGAGAAATTCGCAAATGACGCAAAAATAAAACCACCTTTAAAAAAAAACATGAGGCCTAAAATCAGCAGGGTGAACCCTATCGGGAATCAAACATGTATTCCACAACATCATGGACATGGCTAAAATTACCCACTTACGATGCCGATGCAGCCGGGATGCTTTACTTAAAGCAACTTTCATCGGGGAAATTGGCTCAAAAACATCGGCAACTAACAGCCCAACTGATTTTTCAGATCAACTGATAAAACTGAGATTTCCTGCTGAAAACCATCAGTGGAGTCGCTGGAGACCCATTGGAAATAGAATGATTAAAAGAGGCGAAAATGTTCATCGACCTGATGGAGAAAACACAGCGACTTGGGGTAAGCAACAATACGATTTCTTAGACTTCCCATTGATTGATTGTGTTTGTGTCTAAGTCATGTTAAGTCCTCTTAGCCCTTATTTTTTCGGATTCACGGAAACATGTTTGTGTGTTTGTTTTGGACGAACGACGTGTCACCGCTCATCGGATGGTGATGATGGGTTTTGTACACCAACCAAAAATCTGTATAAAACAAACATCAACGCGGACTCTTTACCACCAAATACAGTTAAAGACTAAAGATGTGATGGTTGAACCATTAAAGCAACAAGACTTGAGGTAAATCGTGATGATCAAACCAACCAATGACCAGGGACACCTCGGTCCGTTTACCGTTCAAAAACACCGAGGCGCCGTAGACGTCGGTGTGGGGACCCACGGAGCCCTCTAAAAGTTCAGCAGCCTTCGACCGAGATGGGGATATACTGTGCTTGCGAAATCCTGTTGATAGATGGTTTACCCTCTGGTAATCGATGGGTTTTTTTCGGTTACCCTCTGCTATTGGTGTATTAGACTATTTCAACTATTTCTCAGTATTGGTACAACAATTACCCTCTGGTAATTTGTTACATAGCTATGGAAAATGGCCCAGTCGAAATAGTTGATTTACCATGGAAAATGGATGAAAATGGTGGATCTTTCCAGTTCATTATCTAAACGTTTACCAGAGGGTAACCATTTAACCCATGATTTATAGGCTTTTAACCATCCGGTTGGTGGTGCCGGCTTTCGCAACCATCCACAGTATCAATCATTTTATAGGGGAGTTTTTCCTGGTGGTTTAAGTGGCAACCTCATCCATGATTTGGCATGATTTAACCATCAAAGAACGAAATGAGATCCTAAGCATTAAAATTCTGAATTTTACCAATGAATACAGTGGGTTCGGTATGGGCGTGTCCAACAATAGGACATACCCAATTTATTGCAGTTCGAATCGGGAAAATGAAAGTTTTCTGTCCAAAAAATTGGGAATCTACCCTGGCAAACAATTCTACGGGCGACAATGAGGTTTCAAGCCTGGAATTTGGGGGTACTGTGTTTTCACAAAAACCAAACTGAACATACATAAATTGTGTGTCTTGATGCCTTTTGCATTTTCGTCCGATTCTAGCCCCATTTCAAATACCAATTCTACCACCCACTTGTCAAGTGATGATTGTTGATGTTCAGTCGTATATCTGTTGTTGAATGTCATATTCGGCATACAGTCTGCATTGTCTGAAGGTTGGATACCCCAATTCCAGAGGATTAATTCCGCTTATTTTTCCCAACAAGCAAACAACAATGAATGGACCGTTTATCAATGTTTATCATATGCTCCATATGTTTGCAATTTCAATGATATTGATTACTATATAATCGAGTCCCATTTGGGTGTGATTATTGTGATTCTATACTGGGGTGCCAAATAACCGAACAGGAACACATGCTTTTTGATCCGCAACCCGTTGAAAAAAAACATGTTGGCAACCCTCCAGTTTTGTTGGTTGATGTTGGTGTGGCCAAGGATTTTCATACGCATGGTGGCCCCAGAGGTCGCCATGGCAGGGTCTGTTTCCGGGCGCGGCTCTACGCGTGCTATGCGGGCCGGCGAAAATGATGTGCCCCTCTGCCTGTAATACATTGCAATATCCTATTAATTACTGTATATCCCCTTTGTATTCCATAAAATAGACCAAAATCCTCTTATATCATCCTATTATATTCTATTATATCCCATTATATCCTACTATATCCTGTTATATCCCATTATACCATACACTTTTCACCAATATCACCATTTTTGCTTCAAAAATCTCCCAAAAAATATGTCTTCCTGCCACTTTCACGGAGCCTGGAAGTCGCCCCGGCGGTGCAGCTTGGGTGCCTTCGAAGCACTGGAACAAGCCCAGTCCACCAGGCAGCCCTGACGCGCCGCGAGCGGCGAGCGGCGAGCGCCAAGGCGCCAAGGCACTTCAACAGGAATCATTTCGGAACGTGGAAACCCGATGCCATAAACAACTACATTTCCCATAGGATCCATGGTGCTGCTATATATGGTAACATGGATCCCATCCATATACCCCCTTTATGTTAGCATATATACCAGCACCATGGATCCTATGGGTTTGGGAGAAAAAACTTGGTAGAGATTTTCTTTTGTGAGTGATGAGTTAATCATCGGAGGGACTACTGATCATCTATGGCGATGTTTTTGGGAGCTGATTTGATGGGTTCGGAGCAGGTTCAAAGAACACGTCCCAAGGGTCAACTGGCCAATCTTTGCGATGATCACTTTTAGCTCATCAGCTGAGGTTAAGTCACGGTCCCAAACAGATGTTCCAACTTCTATGTCTCTCTTGGGTCATATCCCTAACCTCAGATCAAGAAAAGAGAATAACTATGGTTAACTATTCCCATCAGCTTATGGCCACCTCTTGGAAAAGAGATACCCTCTGGTAAACTAACATAGCTATGGAAAATCACCATTTTTAATGGGAAAATCCACTATAAATGGTCATTTTCAATAGCTATTTTGACATAACCAGAGGGTATTTTCAGCTGTGGATTGTGTGTTTTCCTATAAACCCAACCAGCTGGGGCACCCGGGGTTTCATCGCCTGCGAAGCTGCGGCTGGCGAAGCGTCATCCTGACATGGCCGCGATGTCGCGCGGCGGGAAGCATCGAATTGAGTCACCCGGGACTGGAAATGTGAATCAGAAACCAGAGAGTTTCTTTTTTCTACTCTGATTTCCAAAATCATGGACTGAAGAGGATCAAATTACCCTCTGGTAAACTAACATAGCTATTGAAAATGGCCATTTATAGTTGTTTTACCCATTAAAAATGTTATGTTAGTTTACCAGAGGGTAAGATCATCACTCCAAAGCCATCACCGCGGAATTCCACACCTCGGCAATCAGCACATTCCAGGGATTCACATCGCAGTGGTAGACACCATTCCTGGCGAGGCTGTCGATGTCTGAGAAGGCCCAAACGGAAAAGGCTTGGATTCAGTAGGTTTCAGTAGTGGTACCACATCTGCCTAGATTTATGGAAGTGGAACATGGATGAACATGGTCAAGATATGGAAAAAGTAAGAGCCAAATTGGCAAACAAATCGGAAATTACCATGGCATCATTATACATGTCATATGAGCAGGGTAAAAACCCTCTGTCATTCCATTATAATCATTATACCAATTCTGCTGGTTGGTTGAGAGCGGGATTCCCAATTGTGGACTTTGATAATCCCCAATGTATGAATGATCGTCATTCACCCCCAAACTAATCATCAACCAACAGGTGTGTCTTGCAGCCAGCCCGGATGGATATGGGTCACCTATGATGACAGAGCATCTTCATCTTCAATGGTGATATATCCCTTGATATCTATCGATAGATATTTACTGGATATGTCACTATGTGTATATGAAATATGCATGAAGATATCACTATTCATGAGATATCTATTTACTATTTCATAGATAGATCATTGAAAGATTTGACTATTAGATAGATTCATAGATTCATAGATGTCACTATTAGATAGATAGATCATTGATAGATTTGACTATTAGATAGATTCATAGATTCATAGATTTCACTATTAGATAGATAGATCATTGATAGATTTGACTATTAGATAGATTCATAGATTCATAGATTTCACTATGAGATAGATAATAGATAGATCATTGATAGATTTGACTATTAGATAGATTCATAGATTCATAGATGTCACCATTAGATACTATTAGATAGATAGATCATTGATAGATTTGACTATTAGATAGATTCATAGATTCATAGATGTCACTATTAGATACTATTAGATAGATAGATCATTGATAGATTTGACTATTAGATAGATTCATAGATTCATAGATGTCACTATTAGATACTATTAGATAGATAGATCATTGATAGATTTGACTATTAGATAGATTCATAGATTCATAGATTTCACTATGAGATAGATAGATCATTGATAGATTTGACTATTAGATAGATTCATAGATTCATAGATGTCACCATTAGATACTATTAGATAGATAGATCATTGATAGATTTGACTTTTAGATAGATTCATAGATTCGTAGATTTCACTATTAGATACTATTAGATAGATAGATCATTGATAGATTTGACTATTAGATAGATTCATAAATTCATAGATGTCACCATTAGATACTATTAGATAGATAGATCATTGATAGATTTGACTATTAGATAGATTCATAAATTCATAGATGTCACCATGAGATACTATTAGATAGATAGATCATTGATAGATTTGACTATTAGATAGATTCATAGATTCATAGATGTCACCATTAGATACTATTAGATAGATAGATCATTGATAGATTTGACTATTAGATAGATTCATAGATTCATAGATGTCACCATTAGATACTATTAGATAGATAGATCATTGAAAGATTTGTTTATTAGATAGATTCATAGATTCATAGATGTCACTATTAGATACTATTAGATAGATAGATCATTGATAGATTTGACTATTAGATAGATTCATAGATTCATAGATGTCACCATTAGATACTATTAGATAGATAGATCATTGATAGATTTGACTATTAGATAGATTCATAGATTCATAGATGTCACTATTAGATACTATTAGATAGATAGATCATTGAAAGATTTGACTATTAGATAGATTCATAGATTCATAGATTCATAGATGATCACCACACTATTAGATACTATTAGATAGATAGATCATAGATGATGTCACCATTAGATACTATTAGATAGATAGATCATATTACTATTAGATAGATTCATAGATTCATAGATGTCACCATTAGATACTATTAGATAGATAGATCATTGAAAGATTTGACTATTAGATAGATTCATAGATTCATAGATGTCACCATTAGATACTACATTGATAGATTTGACTATTAGATAGATTCATAGATTCATAGATGTCACATTAGATACTATTAGATAGATAGATCATTGATAGATTTGACTATTAGATAGATTCATAGATTCATAGATGTCACTATTAGATACTATTAGATAGATAGATCATTGATAGATTTGACTATTAGATAGATTCATAGATTCATAGATGTCACCATTAGATACTATTAGATAGATAGATCATTGATAGATTTGACTATTAGATAGATTCATAGATTCATAGATGTCACCATTAGATACTATTAGATAGATAGATCATTGATAGATTTGACTATTAGATAGATTCATAGATTCATAGATGTCACTATTAGATACTATTAGATAGATAGATCATTGATAGATTTGACTATTAGATAGATTCATAGATTCATAGATGTCACCATTAGATACTATTAGATAGATAGATCATTGAAAGATTTGACTATTAGATAGATTCATAGATTCATAGATGTCACCATTAGATACTATTAGATAGATAGATCATTGATAGATTTGACTATTAGATAGATTCATAGATTCATAGATGTCACCATTAGATACTATTAGATAGATAGATCATTGATAGATTTGACTATTAGATAGATTCATAGATTCATAGATGTCACTATTAGATACTATTAGATAGATAGATCATTGAAAGATTTGACTATTAGATAGATTCATAGATTCATAGATGTCACCATTAGATACTATTAGATAGATAGATCATTGAAAGATTTGACTATTAGATAGATTCATAGATTCATAGATGTCACCATTAGATACTATTAGATAGATAGATCATTGATAGATTTGACTATTAGATAGATTCATAGATTCATAGATGTCACCATTAGATACTATTAGATAGATAGATCATTGATAGATTTGACTATTAGATAGATTCATAGATTCATAGATGTCACCATTAGATACTATTAGATAGATAGATCATTGAAAGATTTGACTATTAGATAGATTCATAGATTCATAGATGTCACCATTAGATACTATTAGATAGATAGATCATTGATAGATATGACTATTAGATAGATTCATAGATTCGTAGATGTCACTATTAGATACTATTAGATAGATAGATCATTGATAGATTTGACTATTAGATAGATTCATAGATTCATAGATGTCACCATTAGATACTATTAGATAGATAGATCATTGATAGATTTGACTATTAGATAGATTCATAGATTCATAGATGTCACTATTAGATACTATTAGATAGATAGATCATTGAAAGATTTGACTATTAGATAGATTCATAGATTCATAGATGTCACTATTAGATAGATAGATCATTGATAGATTTGACTATTAGATAGATTCATAGATTCATAGATGTCACCATTAGATACTATTAGATAGATAGATCATTGAAAGATTTGACTATTAGATAGATTCATAGATTCATAGATGTCACTATTAGATAGATAGATCATTGATATATAGATCGATTTTTTCCCACACATTGATTTGTTCCACCCCAACTGCTTTCCGTTGCGCCCTGCCGGGGCCATTGCCTGTTGGCTTCCTCCACGGCCGACGCCACGTCAAGCCAACACCGCAGCGCCCGGCAAAGAATCGACGACGTCGACGTCGAGGACAGGACGGGCGCCAGGCCTCGCAGGAGGTATTTTAACTGGGAAAATATGGGAGTTCACCAGGAAAAGTGAGGAAAAAATGATGTGTTTCCCCAGTTCAAACTGAGGAAACCTCACGATGTTTTACTCAAAATGATGTGTTAACTGGGAAATAATTTTATCCACAAAAAAAACGATGATTTAGCCCGCAAAATGGTAGTCGATGGGGACTGGATGGCTCGTTAAATCCAAGCCTGTGAGCTGGGTAATGAACCAAGTGACAGGCTGCGGCTGCGTGTGCATCAATGGTGAACAAAAACTGGTTGGTGGTTGACCTACCCCTCTGAAAAATATGCGCGTCAGTTGGGATGATGAAATTCCCAACTGAATGGAAAGTCAAAAAATTCCATGGTTCTTGTCACCACAAACCAGAAAATCAATGGAAGATGATTAAATCAAAGCTGCGTCCTTTGTACCTTCCCCAAATCTCAGTGTTTATCCCGAAAGATCTCTTCCATCCCAAATCAATCACGGGTGAAGAAAGAGTCGTTGGATATTTCGTTGGTGCACGGATCTCATCAAACCACAACAAAACTGAAATATCCCGATGTCATCCCTCATCCCTCACAAGAACATCATCAAAGATGGTCTCATAGTTTCTTCCCCGAAAAAAAAGGCACCATGCCGCTGAGTTTGACGGTCACCTGCGTCCGGGAGCTTGACCCCAGCTTTGTAGCCTCGCTGGAAAGATGAGTGTTTTGCTGGAGAAATCACCCAGGGCGGCTTGATCCATTTCTGACCATCAATTGACCCATAGCGTATAGCAAAACAGACGAAAAATCAGAAAATGATTGACAAAAAAAAGGCTGAATGTCTGAAAATGAATGTGGTACTCAAGTGTAAATTGAGAAAAACTAGTGCTACTATTTATGGGAAAAAAAAACTATAAATAGATACATTTGTGGTACAATGGTATCGTTATAAATACCCTCTGGTAAACGTTTACATAGCTGGAAAATCACCATTTTTCATGGGAAAAATCACTATTTCAACTGGGCCATGGCTTCAATAGCAAACTGTTGACATAACCAGAGGGCATCTCCATTAAATCACCATTAAATCCCATTAAAACCCATGAAATCACCATTTTCCTATGGTTTTCCTATGGGTTTCCTACGTTTCCCTAGTACAATCATCCTGATCCCGGGACCCCGGATGAGTGAGATGACTCAGATGACCATGAAAAACCAAGGAGATGACCAATCAACCAATATGACCAATCAACCATCACCAGCGATTTATGGGACATATCCACTAGAAATGGAGGTTTTACCATGGGTTTTATGGGAAAATCATGGGAATATATGGTTTTAAAACATACAAATAATGGAAAATATGGGAATATATGGAAAATTCCACTGGTTTTTTAACGGGAATATAACATAAACATACTAGTTTTATGGAGGCTTTACCATGGGTTTTTAATGGAAAATCCTGGGAAAATTAATGGGGATAACCGGCCTGGTAAACATTTAAAAAAAAAGCGAACTGGAAAATGGTGATTTAGTTCGTGGATTTACCCATGAAAAAGGGTGGATTTTTCCAGTTCGTTATGTAAACGTTTACCAGAGGGTAAAATATGTTGAAATCCATATTTGATTCTCAAATCCACCTGCACTAACCAACAGGGATATTTCCACGGGTAAGTATGTTTCCATATCGTTGATAGCTAAAACCCCATAAAACCGCTGGTTCAATCAGGTAAAGCCCAACTGAATCCCATTTGAATCCCATTAAAATTTGATCAAATCACATTAAATCCTATTCATCCCCATTAAAATCTCACTAAAACCCTATTGTTCATGGTAAAATGCCCATTTTCTTCATGGCGCATCTCGTCCCGCACGGCTTTCCCGCTGTGGCTTTTTATCCGTTGCGGCTCTGCCACAGCTGCGACAGCTGTTCAGGGAGATCTTCCAGCAAAGTCGATTTCGTCACATGGCCTCGGGATGACGGAGAGTTTGGGGATATATGTCATATGTACTATATATAATACATAATGTGTATATATATATATATATATGTGTGTGTAGTCTGTAATATGATAATATATGGTTCATATATATATATATATAAATGTAGTCTGTGATATGATAATATATGAATTGAGGACTATGATAGTAATAAATCACAGTATGATATAGTATATATAAATATGATATTAATATGTATATATAGCCTCGTGCAGGCTTCTGGAACTACCTAAACCTGAATTAGGTTGGTAAAACTTGTCCATTCCGTGACGAAATTTCGTCGCGGAATTAACAAGTTTCATTAGGGTCATTATCATCATCATCATCATCATCACAATCATCATCATCACATCATCATCAACTGCTGCCGCAAGTTCACATGAATGTTAACATCGAGCCGCAAGTTCACATGAACGTTAACATCCCACCCCACCCCTTTACCCCATCGTATGTAGTTCCAGAAGCCTGGACGAGCCTATATATAGCCAACCAAATGATCCTGTGGATGGAAGAATTCCTACACCAGTTGATGGTTTATCCCATTATCATTCCATTCTTTACAGCGCGCCATAGTTACCAAGATTTACCAAGTGGTGCAGGATGGCTTGTTCATCCACGGAGTTTCGGCAATACACATGGGAATTAAATGGGGATATAGTGGGGATAAAGCCAGAAATATGATAGTCTCGGTCTTATGGTCATCCATTCCAGAATGGGAATCCTGAAAAGGGTTGGTATATAAATAGCTATGAAAATGGATTGATGGCCACCATCCAACATAGGTAATTTGCCCATGGCACATATTTGTATGTATTTCTGTATACGTATATGATATGTGGATGCCGATGTCGATGTTGTATTTAAAACATACCCACCTATCCATCCATCTACCACTCAAGCCACGGTGGGGCCTTGGGTCGCTTGGACGGCTTTGACGTGTGCCATTTTGGCAACTTCTGGTTGGATTTTCAACGAATGAGTCAGCAAATTGATCTTCAACCATTGAGTTTCAACAGATCGTAAATACTTAACATTCGAAATTCACAACCATTATGTTTCAACAGATAGTTTACTTAACATCTGGTAACATATGTTAACTACATTTCACCACAGTCACGGAGGTCACCGAGGTGCAGTTGTGTCCGGTCCAAGCCAATGCACAGAGGACCAGCAGCACCGGAGACCTCGGAATTGGCACTGCAGTTGATATGATACCCGGCCTGGCTATGTCAAACAAAAAATAGGAAAACCATAGGAAAACCATAGGAAAATGGTGATTTAATGGGTTTTAATGGGATTTAATGGTGATTTAATGGATCTACCCTCTGGTTATGTCAAAATAGCTATTGAAAATGGCCCATGTATAATGAGTTTTCCCATTAATAGCATGGTGATTTTCCATAGTTGTGTTAGTTTTCCAGAGGGTACCTATTTTAGTGATATTGAAAACTCTTGATTTAGGATGTAATTGATATTGAAAACTAGTTGTAATTATATTGATATGGAAATATTTACTGCGATGATTTAGGACGTAATTGATTGAACTGATATTGAATATAGTATCTATATATATATACACATATGCTTACAAGGATATGATACTTATATAATACTTGGATAGAAGTATTAAAAGCACTATATTGCACTATAAGTATCATATATACTGCAGTAGATATGATACTTACAATAATGTAAAGTCTTATTTGATGTATAGTATCATACTAGTATCTTACAATCCCACAACTACAGAATGTAAAAAAATAATATCTAATAATCCCACAATACTCCCATAAACTATAGTTTAGAGTTATTTCCCAGCAACTACAGCCATATCCAGTTGCTAGGAGCCCCTGCTGCTCGTGGTCTGGATAGACCATGAATGCCAGCAGAGCCACCTGGAAACGGACTCTGAACTGCTACGCTTCGTGGAATCCTCGGAGACCCAGACCCCAGCAGCTGGCTGACAGCCATGCCTTGAAGATGGCCGGCACCATGTGCAAATAATCCAGGAAAGGCAGTAGCACCAAGTCCAAGATCATGGGCAGGGCGCACACCTAAACAAACTTTGGAGAGTTCCAGGCCGGGCCGTCGAAAAAAAAATGTAGGGAGGTCTGAACTGACAACTAAAATGGTGATGTTCAAAGAAAATGTGGGTGCTTTTAAGCAACGAACTTGAGTTTGAAGCAACAAATGTGTTCAGATCAACCATAGGAATAGAAGCTGCTGAGCAAGAAATCGGCCCCTTATCACCCTCCCATCCTGGCCTTCCGCGTAAAGAGGTCCTGAGTTTTGCTCAGCAGCCACCACAAACACTCGTCCAGCACCACTGCTGGCAGCGCGCTGCGCACGAAGGCGCCATAGCCCACCTGTGGAGACGCCGAATGCTGGGGGACGGATGTCCTGAAAATTGGGCGTTATCTAAATGTTTGGCAAAACTGATGGTTCTGAGTCTGAGAAGGAAAAGTGGGGTATCTGCTTGACCACCCAAATTTGGGAGTGTATGTAACCAAGAAACCATTGGATTTAAACTACAAAAACTGGAAATTAACCATCTACTATGAAGACTTGGGGTCCAATGAATGTATGTTCAGAGTTCCATCGGAAAGAATGTACAATGATGTACAATGGGCGGAAAAATGGTTTGATCCTTTGAAAGGATGTTGAGGGAACACACTGTTGTTTTCCTGTGGAAAGGATCAGAAACAAAGACATAGCTTTATCTGAACCCTGATCACCACTTTTGCCCAGTCGTCTTTCCTTAACCCAAAATATCTCCAAATGGTATACTAAAATTCCCAATATCCCAAACTATAAGAACCCAAATGCCAAATAGAACCAAAAAATTATGTAATTAGGTGTATAATCCAAATTATAGTTATACCCAAATCATTCTGTAATTCAACCATAATAGATATCTACCCAATCATGGTTGAAACCGTTCGTTTTTTCCCCCAGTGAGTTCTCCACGCCACATAGGACACCGCGATGAGCGCGAAGCGCCGCGCAGAGCCCCAAAAGCCCGGCCAGAACCAGCTGAAGGGCTCCGCGAAGCTACTTTTCAGGCTGACGCCTGTGATTGGACCCGGCCTTTTACAATGTGGGGCCCCCCAGTGATGTTTGTTGGTTTATAAACCCTATTAACTATAGTTATAAGTACCATAAACCATAGTTATTGGAGTTATAAACCAACTTAGCTATCTAGGGGGCCCCACATTGTACCAGCACTTTACCATCCAAAAATGGAAGAAAAACAGGAAAATGTGCCACAAATTTGGAGCTTTGCCAGCAGTTCTACCAGCGATCTGTCCATGTTTTTTTCGTACAGGACGAGCAACGAAGGAAAATGCGGAACATTGGGGCTGAATAAACTGTCTAATTGTGTTTGGACAGAAACAACTTAGACTTTTACCAATTTTATTCAGCTAAATGGGAACTTGTGATCTACCATTCCTGAATGAAGGCGGCTGACGTCTCCTTTCGTAGTTTCAGCGTATGGGAAAATCATAGGGATCGATGCCATGCCATGCCCCATCTCGACTGCCCTCCAAGACTGGCCACAAAAAATGTAGAGTTTACGATTGGGTTCCAATGAGGTAAAGTAACTCCTTTATGATTGGGTCTAGTCATTATAACTAATCATCTAATCTACTATCATCTACTGCTTTTGATTGATTTTTGGGCAAGTCCTCTTCCTACTACCAATAAGTTAGTAAGCGTGCAATATGTTTCAGCATTATATGAATCGAATATCCTCAGTTCCTCAGATATGTATATATATATACACGTATATACATGTATATATATATCACTTCAATTGTTAAGGATTATTTTTACCACCTATGAACTGAGGTGTACATCCCATTTCCATCGATTTCCCCACGCAACGTGCCCGTTGCGCCTATGCCACTGCTCTTCACGATCTTCACAGAACGCTGTAAGCGTTGGAACAGGATCTCCACCTTATCCTAAGATCGATGGTTTCCCTCCGCAGGGCAGATGGTCCTTCAACATGGTGCAGTAAAACCAGGCAGGGTTCCCAACATATTGAAGATGTTGCTTGTTCAATATGGAAATAACCAGATGCTAATCCTAACGGGTCGGTGTCCCTCTTCGTAGCTCCGCTATGCTCCGCTGTCGCCAAGTCTCAGCTCTCCAGATACAGACCGCTGCATGCACAGCAAATGCCCGCTGCGAGGACACGGCATCGCTACCCAACCAGCCTGCCAGCTACATGTAGGCGTACCATGAGTTCAGAGCTGGGAATATACATATTATATTAATGATATATCATTGTCGCAGATTTGTTGATATATCATATTCTATAACTATATGTATATACTATATATATATATATGAAGGATGGTCATCCGGTTTTCGTTGAACATGCGGTTGGACGACCAGGACGGTCCCGCGGCGTTCTGCAGGGCGCCTCCATCATCCAAGTGGAGGCCCAAGGTGAAGGCCGCATAGAGTGCTGCAGAGATAGAACTGGCACTGTACAGAACCTCAAGGGATCCCTGGGGACAACCGGGATGTAATGGGGACATAAATATATATATATATTTATACATATGAGTTAAGAATCAACAATAGGGAGTTAATTGGATTTCAAACATCGTCCATAATGAAGATATAATGGGGACATAATAAGGATATGCAATGTACATATCTGGGTATGAATGCAATGATAGATAATGAAAAAAGATGAAAATTTGTTTTGTTTTTTTGTGAAACTGGGATGTGGCAACATGCAAATGAAAATCGCCTTACTTATCGCGTACAAATCCATCCAGCTGTAGATATCTGGATTCTGTGAAACCAGCTATGAATCATCATGAATCATCGACCTCCATACTGAACTATTGGAGACTGAACTATTGGTATTTACGGCAAAAAATCATGGTGATTCTTCAATAAGAACCTTCTTTTTGTTGATGCCCACATCCCCGACTTGGTGGTTCCCAGCGCAGCCAAGGTGCCAGCAGGCTGGGAAACACCTGGTTGCTGTGGCGTATCGCCATCAGTGGAGCCAAGAGAAGCCGTTCCAGCTGGAAATCCTCGGCATATCATGAGGAAATTCCTCCATGAAATCCATGGGACCTTTGATGGAAATATATACCATCTGGTTATGACTAACATAGCCATGGAAAATCCCCAAAATAAATGGATGTTTTTATGGGAAAATCATCTATAAATGGGCCATTTTCCATGGCTATGTTGAATAACCAGAGGGTGCATATATATATATGTTGGCTATAGTAATACCGGGTTCTAAAAAAAAAACAGCCATCGACCAAAAAGTTTCAACATCCACCGGAAGCCCCGGACCCCCTGTCTCAATGTTGCCAAACATCGCTTCTCAATGGCCGGAGCAAGAATGGCTGTTTTTTTGAAGGCTCCGCCAAGCACTGCGGTCACACAACATTGAAATTGGGGGACCAGGGGTGTCTAACTCTCCTCGCCAGACTTCAGGTTGGCTGTTTTTGTTTGAAGAACCCGGTATGTAGAATATCATGTTTTTTTGGAAATGATTGGAACATGGCTGTAGGAATCCCTTCCCCGTTAGTAAGTCTCAACACATTGTACAATGGGTCGCTCACAATATGTGTCAATGCCCGAAAAATCCACCATGGTTTCTGAGGCTGTTCAATGTTAGGGGGAAGGGATTATTCGATAGATTTGGGTGTTGGATTGAATAAAATACAATGAGAAAACTCTCAGCAGTTTCTCCCCAATACTTGGCCAATTCGCTCGGTGAAAAATCCCCAGTTTGGCACGCAAGCGGTTTGGTCACCTCAATCCCCAGTTTGGTTGCCAAAAAATGCCATGTTTACTGGTGAAAACCCCTATATTCCCTATGTTCTGCAAGCTCCGTGAGTCGAATCCCCTCGGTTTGCCCTGACATGTCCCATAAATTTGTCTGAATTCATCAAAGTATCCACATAAAACTTGGTATTTTATATGGTTTTATCACTTCAAATTCTCCGAGTTCATCTGAAGTTTCCCATCCTTCGCTTCTTTCCATCACCACTTCCCTGTTATTCGCACAGCGCACCTTGGCTTCACCCTGGGGACTGGTCGTCTGCCCTCGTTGCCATGCTAGCGCCAGAAGAGCGCTCACCAGCAACGAACAGGTCACCTACAGCCACGGTGCAGTTTTTTCTTTTCGATTTGGATGTTGAAATTGTTGAATGTTCCGAGGATCGATTTTGTAACAGGAAAAAAGTGGAGATGCAGTGAAACTTGGGAGTTATTTCATGATTCAAGTATTTAAAAAACGGGGTTGAAGCAGAATTTATGGTGGTCTTTCACCAGAGGTTCAGCGAGCAAAGCGTGTATTTGAAAAGGATTTCACCAAAAAAAAATCAACTTCAACTAGAAACATGAAATGTCAACAAGAAAAATGCAGATTCCATTTGGAATTTCAGTGATGTCATAACCAAAAAATCGTGACCTTCGGAGGCAAAGCCTCCATTTGGGGATGCCCTCCACCGGCACCTGGCTCATGGGTCCTCGGTCAATCTCTTTGGATCGCGGAGCCCGGGCTGATGACTTCGGGTGAAGTTCTTGCACTGAATTCACGTCTGTTTTTGCTGATCAAATGCCTCAAATTCAATTTTTGAATCGAATCGTGCGAAGTTCATGAGGGGAAGCGTTAACTGTAAACATGCCAGTCTTAGAAGCTGCCTCTGACGACTGGATGTTTCGGTTTGAAGGTGCTTGATGCTGCCATTTGGTGAAGAATCATCATGCCATGGTGTTTTTCTTGGCAACTCATTCATCGACGCCTGCCATGAATTTCTCTGTGGCACAAGCTGTGTCCCCAACACACAGCCACAAACAGCTGCGGGGCGTCTAGATGTTGTGGCCCGAGACATTCCTGCTCTGTAGTCAAATAAATGGAACACATGCAGTACTACAACGTGAGGCCCTCCAGTTATAATTTGGTTTATAAGCCCCAGGTAACTATAGTTATAAGTACCATAAACCATAGTTATTGGAGTTATAAACCAACTTTCAAACTTCAATGCTTGGATTGATTCAGTTTTTGGAACAAAGTATCGGCAAGCTACGCAACACAACTCACCACCAGCGAATGTGGGTTCAGGGACCGCCAGCAAATGCAGGTTTCAGGCATGTTGCGGGGCAACCACAAAACCTTCAACGCCAAAAATCGCAGGGTTAAATCCCCATCTTCGCAGTCTAAACCTTGTTTCCACATTCCTTCTTTCATGGGAAAAACACCATTCTTATCAATTAAGTCCTTTTTTTTCCAGATTTTTCCTAGCCTTTCCCAATTTTCTCGCCCTTTCCGTTTCGCCACGTTGCTCATCATGACGCGTCGCTTCTGTGGATCTGCGCCCAGGAAGGCCGGGATGGCGCCCTTTTGCACGGCCTCGCAGTCCTGGTGCTGCGGTAAATATGGTAATGTTACAGTCATGCTACCATCATTCAGAAATGTTATGTTATTGGATAACATCATCCGTTTCTGTTTTACAAATGTTATGGTAATGTTACGGGCAAACCCCTCAGTTTGCCCACGCCGACGCCGACGACATGTCCGAACATCAAAAAACACTGTGTGTTTTGCGGGGCAAAATGCACATGTCAATGATCATGGCTTTCATCTTGCAACGCACAGCTTAGCTACCTGTGCCTTGAATGTTACAACAACAACAACAACATCAACATCAACATCAACATCATCATCATCATCATCATCATCATCATTTTCATCTTCATCTTCATCATTATATTCCTAATCCCCTTGTTGATCTTCCCAATTGAATGTAAAGTTTAACGGGGGTGGGAATTTACATTCTTAATACCCTTGTTGATCTTCCCAATTGAATGTAAAGTTTAACGGGGGTCGGAAATTATATTCCTTCAAAATCCCTAAGAAGTTGTGTGGGCGAACTGGGGGTTTGCGCGTAATGTTACGGTAATGTTATCCATTTCTGCTATGGTAATGGTCATGTTAGATGATAATGGTGATATGTTGACATTATCATATTGCCATAATGTCATATCACCATATCCATTATATCTGGAAATATGATAACATTACATACCAGTTTATGACATAAATGGTTATGGTGATATGTTATGTTGATATGAAATTCTGGCATTAAGACATTGAAACAGAAATGGTCTTGGTGATGTTTCCATTATGGTATATTACATTATAAACATCACAAATATTATAAACATTATAAACACTATAAACATGGCTAATGGATGTCCATTGTGTCTATGGTACATTGTTATAAGCATTGTGGAAGATAATGGTTTTATGGTTATGTTATGTATCATCATTAAATCAGAATTGTATGTGGTAATTATTCCAATATTATAAATTACCATGATGGTTGTGTATAGTTATCATTTATGATACATACCATAATGATCGTTTTTGTATATCACCATCCATGGTATAGTGGTACAGAAAATGTCGCTAATTTGATGTACATCAGATTCCAGGCATTATGGTATTCCATGAATCATAATATATATATATATATGAATTGTTGATAACCATTTATGTCCCATGGTATGGAAGCTGGTATATGTATATATATATATGTTATTCTTCAACGTCATGATGATTAATGATTATATTCATGGAAGTGCAGTGGTGTATATATATATATATACAGATAATGCTGATTTACTAATGACCACAATAATATGTCATGATTTTAATGGTTATTTGTGGATGAGTTTATTAATGCTACACACGGGATATATTGGGATGATACTTGTAGATCATGGTATATAATGAATGGCTAAATAGTGGTTAATAATGATGTTTGATGGTTAGTAATGGTACATATCATGTTGTTGGTTTCGATTAGTAATGGTATCTATATCATGATTGATAGTGGTCTATATAATGCTTGAGAAGGGTATATCCAATGGACCATGTTGATAATGGCTATCATGATCATAACACATCTAATGGTTACGCCATGAATGATATTTATAATGCTCAATAATGGTGTGTTACAAGAGTGATACATATGGTATCATTGATACATGGAACTCAAACATTCATAGATCGATAATGGTGTATATATAGTGGTCAATCATGGTATATAATGGATAACTGGTTGGTGGTATACCTACCCCTCTGAAAAATATGCTCGTCAGTTGGGATGATGACATTCCCAACTGAATGGAAAGTCATAAAATTCCATGGTTCCAAACCACCAACCAGATAATATGTCAGTGAATCAATCAAATCAGTGGAATATCCAATCCATGAAATATCCATATTTTCCATGATATTTATGCAGGCCATGCCTTTTTTGGTTCCCTGGGGAAATCATCGAATGGCTGTCCATTGCCACGTTTGACTGTGACTATCGGAAGGTATACGCATGTATCAAATGTATTTATAGGTTCAAAATGGTAGTAAATTTAAATTATTATATATATATATACATATATATATATATACATATATATATATACATATATATATATATGCATATATATATATATGCAATCTGATATTACCATCTGATGTGCACATCTATAGATTACATTATTGGAATGATAACATGGCGAATGTTATTTGTTAGTGTTTATTTAAGGTTGGTTTGCGGCTTATTTCGAGTTGCTTTAGGGCTTTTCCAGGGTGGTTATTTTGGAGTTTGTGGGGACAGACAGAGGAAGTGAAGATCAAGAGTACCAAGGCACCACAGGCACCAGAGGACCAGGGGAAGCTGATGGTTTTTCCAGTAATCTGGGTAAACAAATAATCAACAATCCCCGAAATCACCATAAATAGGTGGTATAAACCATTCCCAAATTGGGGGGTTTATGGCATTGTTTTACCCACATGAATTTGCTTTATTTCCCAGGACTCTAGATTTTGTTCAGGAAACATCGTTGTTATTTCCGGTATCCCATTAGGTTTTAATGGTCTTCCAACCCCGGAGTTTCTGTATATCATATGTAACAAGTATTGTGTACCATGGACAGAACCATATGGAACATATTCAAAAGTTGGAGTGTTTTTTGCCGGCCCTGGCTATATTCCTACTCTATCCCCATGTGAGCAGTGTTCAAAATCCCTCTATCATTCCATTTAATCCTGGTTGGTTTATAGGGATTCCCCGTTCTTGGATTATTATAATCCCCAATATATTGGGTAGTATAATCCCCGAACTAATCATCAACCAACCATCATTTATCAGGTGTATTATCCACACCTAATGCCCTATAAAGCCCCAAAACTTATCATATAACAGGTGGTATAACTGATAAATGATGGCTTTTGAGCACTGCTCATGTGTTTCTCATATTTTGCTTCACATCTATCCCCATCCCATCCCATCCCTCGTCCTGCAGTTGCTGCAAGGCCCAGACCTCCGCACGGAAGGCCTGGCGGCCACCATCCTTGATCTCCTGGCGGCTCGCGGGCTCGCGGTGATTTTCGGAGGAATTTGGTGATTTCTTGGGTTTAGGGGCGATTTTGCGGTGATTTGTGGGTGATTTTGGTGGACTTTTCTGGGGGAAACTGTGGAGATTTTGGTGGAATTCCGTCTGATACCACCTGGTGGAATGGTGCAGGGGATTTAGAGATGAGAATTCGAGATCGCGATTTGTTTCGATATGGACGACTGACTGGGTTGAGATCTCATGGTGATTTTCTCATGGGGATACAACAGGGACATGTGTTTTTTTTCCCCAAGCGATGTTAGCAATCCAGGTACAACAGGGATAAATATATATATATATCAACAAACACCATAATATTTAACATATATATATATATGGATTAGGTACATATATATATATATAAACAACGCGAATGGTGATTAAATTCAACAAACATTTGACTACTCTTAGACGGGTTCACGATTTCACCCCAACTTGGGAGAGAATTACTACCAGGGGTTGAAACAGTACGTATTTGAAATCACTAAATGACTAAATGGATGATGATTTCAGAGAGGCTCAAGCCTTCTTAAGATTTGTGGAGAAGGAAATGATGGCTCAGCCCATGGAGAAGGAACGATTTTCAAGAAACCCTCTTTGACTCTTTGACGCTGTAAGCTCTGAGATGGCTCAATGATCCATGCAACTAGTTAAGTTGGCTGCTCTTCTCCGAAGATACATGGTTTGTATTTTCTCTTGCCACCCCAACGAACTCAAACATGATCCGTCCTTTTTCACACGAATCGAGATTCAATTGAGTTCTAAACATGCACGACTCTGACAGAAGGAAAGGCAGAGATTTGGAACAGTCGCAGGAACACAGCTGGATCCCACCGGCGCTATGCACTTTACACTTCGCCCACGGATGCCAACCATGAACCCGGCGATCTGAAAAGTAATTCATCCTGAATAAAAATCCCTTGAAACATTCTTCAAACCTAGACCTAGACCCGGACGAAAAAAAATGTCGCACACCTTCCACGAGCGGGTCTCTGATACAGTGTTCACATTGGAACATGATATATATTTCGGGATCGTCCAAATACAAAGCCCCAGGGCACCCCCATTCCAATGATTTAAAAATGTCATGGTCTGAATTGTTGAAGTATTGATTGCCCTTTTTTCGAAAAAATGATCAAAAGGCCCCGTTTCCAGACAAACCCACTTGGAAATTTCAGCGATTCCAATGTACAGACAGGGGGGCGAAGAAGGTTGATCCGTCATGGATCTCATGAGAATTCATTCATTCTCGAGCCCCTGCAGTCCGTGATTGGAACAGGGTTCTACCATCAAGATCACCAGAATTGGGGAGAAACATCAAAAAAACTCACCGAACATTACCACAGTTCACAACATGTTTCAACCATATAAAAATCGTGTTTTTCGCACGAAACGAGATTGAATTGAGTTCTAAATTCTAAACATGCACGACTCTGACAGAAGGAAAGGCAGAGATTTGGAACAGTCGCAGGAACACAGCTGGATCCCACCGGCGCTATGCACTTTACACTTCGCCCACGGATGCCAACCATGAACCCGGCGATCTGAAAAGTAATTCATCCTGAATAAAAATCCCTTGAAACATTCTTCAAACCTAGACCTAGACCCGGACGAAAAAAAATGTCGCACACCTTCCACGAGCGGGTCTCTGATACAGTGTTCACATTGGAACATGATATATATTTCGGGATCGTCCAAATACAAAGCCCCAGGGCACCCCCATTCCAATGATTTAAAAATGTCATGGTCTGAATTGTTGAAGTATTGATTGCCCTTTTTTCGAAAAAATGATCAAAAGGCCCCGTTTCCAGACAAACCCACTTGGAAATTTCAGCGATTCCAATGTACAGACAGGGGGGCGAAGAAGGTTGATCCGTCATGGACCTCATGAGCATTCACTCATTCTCGAGCCCCTGCAGTCCGTGATTGGAACAGGGTTCTACCATCAAGATCACCAGAATTGGGGAGAAACATCAAAAAAACTCACTGAACATTACCACAGTTCACAACATTTCTTTCAACCATATAAAAATCGATTGTTTTTCAGCCCGTGAGAATTGGGAAACAGTGGAGACCCCTGTAGATTCAGATATTATGGACTTATACGGACTTTTCTTATTGTGAAGTCCTTCCCTATTTGGAGCGATGAGCGACCTGCCAGTTGAAACCCCAACTGCCAAAGATCGCTACCTCTGCAAAATTCTAGACTTGGGTCAAAATTCTACCAACAAAAAATGCATTGTGGATGTTTTTTTTGAATTTTTGGACCTCCAAAAAAGGCTGATGCTCCATGATGTTCCTTATCTTTGCTTAAAAAATCGTTCAATTTTGACCCTTGGAGGCTTCTGAAACCCGCTCACTCTCCCGGTCTGAACCTTCCCGGTTCACCACCGAATGGTCACTGAGACGGTCACTGAGACGGTCGCTGTCGATCTGCTCCGACAGCAAGGTCCTCCGCGCCGCGACGTCTGTGCGACGGAAGCGCGGGAGGTCCAATGCCAGTGCCTGGATCATTCTCAAGGCTTCCAATTCGCGTTCCTGAGACGTTCCTCACGGTGGATTGGTGGTTCTGGTGGTTCTGGTGGTCCCAGGGCGACCCTTTGTGGTTGAAAAAGATCAGAAAAACATGAACCAATATAGATTCTCCACCCTTTTTTTCAGTGAAATGTGGGAAACTCGAAAGAACCAGCCCAAATTCACCCCCATTCAAAATGGCCCCGAAAATGGCATTTTCCCAGCCCAGCTTCGTGGTTTTGGCCAGGTGCCAACGCCATTTCGGCTCATGATTCGGCCAGGAAAACCACCGAAAAGGGGGGGAAATCACAACCGCAAATCACAGCCGCTGGTGGTGGCTTGCCTTGAGCCACTTGAAGTTCGCCAATTTCAGAGATCGGATGGCTGGATCGGATCGTCTAAAAATGGACCATGTTCCATAGCTATTGGATGATTTGCCAGATTGGACCATGTTGGATTGCTAGTTTCAATGGGTTTTCTGTTGAGGTTTTCAACATGAAACCACTGCTGAATGACCCAAATTCTGAGGGTGTCCTGGTTGTTTTTGCTTAAACCAGTTCTAGGCATCCTAGGTAGACAACCAACAATATAAAACAACCTACATAATTATGTATATATATATATGTTATATAATTATATGTATAATGTATAATATAATATATATATATATATATTATGTATAAATATGTATATATATATATATATATGTGTATAATGTATATACAGTATGTGTATATATATATATGCATAATATATACATATGGTATATACCATCTATTAACCTGAGACCATGGGTGATTAACCACTTACTACTTGGGATGCAGCCCCAAGTACCAAACAGTGAAGCCGTCAGTTCAACCATCTAGGGTTCAAAAGCTTGACTGACCATAATCAACCATCGTCTACAGTCATCAAAATTATCAAATTGAGGTCATCCATCAAAATCAAAAGTTAAAAAAAGGAAAACTCATCAAATAAATCAAGTCAAGAAAAGATCCACCACATTTCAAGGCTTGGCCAAGTCGTGTGTTTTTTTTCCAAAAAATTCATTTCGCCGCAGATATCTCCTTGAGCACTGCCATGTTTTCCCCCAAATCGACGAGGAAACAGGCGCCCTGCTTGCCTGCACTGGGATGCTCTGGCTTTTCAGTGCTCCGGGAAGCAGGGATTTATTTTGGCCACATATTGAGCTGCAAAAAGTATGAGGAATATATTAGTTGTAATATCTTCATTCTATAAATGGCAGTGGGTCACAACCTTGTACCCCTGGTGAACATCAAAATAGCTGGTAAATGGATGTTCATTCCCCTAAAAATGGGATTAATAGGTATTGATCCATACCCAAATGAAGATCATGGTTAAATGCCATGGTTAAATGCACCCCCAACCAGGTTACCCTGGCTTGGAAAAAAGGGCTCCGGGGCCTGAAAGTCTCCGAATGTTCATCCGAAATTCAAAAGGAAACTCATGGGAAACAGGGGTGAAACAGGGCGCTCCAACTTTGAGAAACATACATACATATTGTATATTATATATATATAAGTAGTGTAATATATATATATAGTGTGTATATATATATATATAGTCTATAGTGTGTGTATATATTGTCGTTGAGACACTGGCAGCACACAAAAATGTTGGGTTTGCTGATACACCAGCTGTTGCAAAACGGTTCAATGCGTAGCGGTCAATCAGCTCTTTGTTTTTCCGGCACAGCGCCTGGAAGTAGTGCGCCACCAATGGCACAGCAAAGGTTTCGGTACCTGCAGAGGCACCTCGAAAAGACTGTAGCGCAATGCTTTCTTCAAGAAAGCTTGGCCAAAGGGGTCCCTTGATGGAAAAAGCCACACACGGCCGTGCTAAATGACTGACATGTAACACCACCGGAAGTGAACTCACCATGCTGATGCTGATTCAATGACATGCCCCAAAAATCTTCACTAAAGGTGGTAGGAACATGTTGCTTGATCAGATCTTGCCATGTCTGATCTTGGAAATCGTTGGGAAATTCCTCTGCGGCTAATGGAAGACGTTGTGTCTTCTTTCGCTTCGCAGCTACAAATTCCGGATCATATTTCACTACCCATTGTTGGCCTCGTTGAAGGAAATGAGATAGTCCATCAGCAGCTGCGGATTTGGTTAATCCATCGGCAAGCTGGGCGTCCGAGGATACCCACAGCAAGGCAGTATTTTGTCGCCTTAAATTTTCCGAAATAGCCATCAGTTCAAGAGCTGCATACTTTTCTTTGAGAGAGAAGGCACTGGAGGCTCCTTCTCCTTTGTAGAAAGCATCGTAGACGCTTTTTGCGTCAATGATCACTGCCGCATGGATCTTGGAGGTGGTCAGCTCCGGTCGGCGTAGATCCAATGTATGGCCTAAAAGTTCAGCCCATTCCGCCCTCACATACATCAACTCTTGTTCTCCATCTCCAAGGGCCTGAATTTCGGCACTGAGGGAGGATCTAGCAACTCTCGCCAGCTTTCCACTCTTCCAAGAAACGGGATTGGCTATCCCTTTCTGTCCCCTCAAAAAGGAGGCGTCCACCATGGCAATCATGTAGCCACCTGTCGATGACATATCAGGTCGATTGCCAACGGCAGCGTCGGTCCAGCAGGCGAAGGAAATGTCTTCGTCTCGCTGAGCTCCAAGGTTTTTGATGGCAATTGATTGGAAACGCTGGGCATGGCATTCTCGGCAAAGCTTGTTGATCTGGTGCAGCACATCTTTCGCTCCACCAGGAAGAGCGCTTTGAAGCCATGACAATTTTGCTGAGTGCTGAGGACCACTCTGAATTGCACGCCATTGGATGGCTCCCAAGACGGCTCTCGCCTGTGACATCTCGTCAGCGGTGATGCCGGGCTCGGAGTCATTGATCGTGATCTGGTTGATCTGCTCCACATAGGTATGATGACTGAATGAAAAACTGAAATCAGCATTTTGCTCCAGTGAAATACCGCAGTGAGCAAAGGATTGTTCTTCCCACGGACTCCAGACAAAGGCCTGCTTGAAGGTCTCGACGGTCTGAATCCATTCGGGATGATTCCACTGCCCAGAAACCAGAAAATCGTCCACATGGCTTGCAAAGTAGCCAATGGTTTTGCCAGTTTGAGAATCCTTCTTGATCCACACGCAAGGATCTGTCCGAAGGCGATTCATCTGGCATTTGTTGGCTGCTACGTCATCCACCTCCCCAAACCACTCTCGTG